AAGCCACTGAAGCTGTTCTAAAGACAGTGCTGTATGATACAAGAGTCTATCCCTATTAACAAACGGGCAAGCTGTGTCTTATGCTAATTGAAGATTCCAAATGGTCTTCAAGGGCTGCCCCACATGCAGCATGATAACATAGTCTAGCCTACAGGTTACCAAAGCATGTATCAGCACAGCGAGTTCAGTCTTGCCCAAATGGCCACTGCTTTTTTTCTATTTTTTAACACAGTTGCATAGATTAAACACACCTTAAACTCTTAACAAAGTCTGTTAAGGATAGTTTCAGGTCATTAAGTAAATCCCTTCCGGGATGTTATCCTTCCCCACCAACAACACCTCTGTGTTCTTACTCCAGATTGTACCCCTTCATCCATTTGATCAGGACAGCCAGGAAGTGGCCAAAGAGTCGGAGAGCACAGCTTTCAGGGGCTTAATGAAAGAAATATTATTGTAAGGAGCCTTCATTCATGAGGAAAAGCTGGGAATGTTTTAATAAATAACTGTGATGTCATCAGCATATTGATGATACCTAACTCCAAAGCTCTTAATAATTTTGTTCAGTGGTCAAACATAAATAGCAAAAAGCGCCAGCACTCCATGTACCATGACCCAAACAGATGTCCAACAGTGACTCTCTGAATTCATGTACATAAAAAGGTGGAAACCAGTGAAGAGCCATTCATTCTATTCCCATAATCTTCCACGTGTTGAATAGTAGCTTTTCTGACATCTTGCCAGCATCTTATGGTTCCTTACTCACATTCAGCCTATGCTTAATGGAATGTTACTTACCAGATGATGAGAGCCAGTTTGGTGTAGTGGTGAAGAGCAGCGAACTCTAATCTGGAGAACCGGGTTTGATTCCCCACTCCTCCTCCACATGAAGCCTGCTGGGTGACCTTGGGTCAGTCACAAGTTCTCTCAGAGCTCTCTCAGCGTCACCTACTTCATAGGTTGTCTGTTGTGGGGAGAGAAGGGAAAGCGATTGTAAACCACTCTGAGACTCCTTTGGGTAGTGAAGAGCAGGGTATAAAACCAACTCTTCTCTTCGTAGTATTTACCTCCATGCCCTGAAAAGCTTCAGATGTACATTTATTTATTTATTCATTATTTTGATATATATCCCGCCCTTACACAAGTTAAGTGTGTTAAAGGAACAGGACAGGCCTGCCGGCATCCCTAGCTAGGATACATACCAATATATCCTTTACATTCCAGACAGGGTTGTCATCTCCAGGTAGGGAAATTTCTAAAGATTTTGGGGGTGGAACTTGAGAAGGGCAGGTTTTGGAGACGGAAAGGTGGGATCAGTTGCAATCAGGGCTATTTTTGGGCAGGAACGCACAGGAATGGAGTTCCGGCTGGCTCCCAAGTTAGCCACGCCCAGCAGGAACTCATTAACATAATAGACCACACCCAACAGCAGAAACTCATTAGGATTGGCTACAATTGGGGGTGTGGCCTAACATGCAAAGGAGTTCCTGCTCCAAGAAAAAGCCCTGGGTTTTGACAACAAGGTAAAGAGAATAAGAAGCAAAAGGTGGGTGTGGTTGGATGACCACACTTCTGGTAACATGGGGGTGTGGCTTAATATGTGAATGAGCTGAGCTGTCAGGGGTGTGGCCTAATATGCTAATGAGTTCCTGCTGGGGTTTTTCTACAAAAAAAGCCCTGGTTGTAATTCTGGAAAATCTCCAGGCCTCACCTGAAGGTTGGCAACCCTGAATACCTTTATTAGTGAGTAAGCCCCACTCTGAGTAAACACAGCAAACCAGCATGACAGATAGCAGTAAGATGCACTGAAATCAGTCCTCTGGGAGAGAATAATATTCCCGAGCCTGCAAGTTCTGTATATTTTTAATACAATTTGGACTCGGAAGAATTACCTTCAAGCAGATGGAACAGAGTATCACCGAGGACTGATATACTCACAGAAAGCATATGGCGGCTGAAGCCTTTCATCTTAATTTTTAAAGTTTATTTTTCCATTCTCTTCTTTAATTGTTGGAGGGAAACTATGGGCAACCTTGTCCTTATTGTCTCTAGACCAGGGGTCCCCAACATGGTGCCCACTGACATGTTTTCTGGTGCCCATCAAGTGTTTTTAGGAAGTGGGTGGGAAAGGTAGGGTTGCCAGTGAGGGATCTGACAGCCATTGCCACCACAGCAGAAGGATCTTCACTGTGTGACTGAAGTTAAGCTGCAGCCGTCATTTGGTTGCTGTGCCCACCACACCATATCAGAATTCCAAAGGTGTTCATAAGCTCAAAAAGGTTAGGGACCCCTGCTGTATACCATGTGACACAGACACACACAAACATATGTTTGAGGGCCAGTTTTCTACAGTTTTTCTTTCAGATTCCATCCCAGCCCCATCATCTTCTTACAGATTTTATCTGCCCACTGTGGTTCAGTTTGCTGCATACTTTTGCATTCCAGTTAAATGCACTGCATTCCACATGGTGGGTTTTGAGGAATCTTGTTTTTATGTTGTTTTAAGATTCAGTTTTTAAAAGGGCCAGAATACAGACTTATAGTATCTTAAATATCAAATTTATTTATATATAATATTTTGTGCAGACTTCATCAGATGGAGGCCCAGCACACTACCTGAAAATCTGTGCAAAGTTCAAACATGTAGTCAAGCACAGTACCTTTCAGGGGAGCATAAGGATAACACAATCTTCGCTGTTCTAATTTCGTTGGGACAGAAAGCCCTGGTCCCAATTGAATCCTAAAAGTATATAAACTTGTAACTTCACTTAGGGGCCTCTCTTTGAAGCTCTTTTGAAGATGAAAATAGTCTGTGCCATGCAAGAGAATAAGTGGACACATCCCTTGCAATAAAAAAGGGTTGATCCAGATGGGTATCCACATTGGTCTGAAGCAGAACAATGAGTCCAGTGGCACTTTTAACACCAACAAAGTTTTATTCAAGGTGACACTCAAGGTGGACTCAAACTTTGCTCTGTTAAAAAAAATGGTATAATTCAAAAACCGGAGCGACACCATTTCAGTCGCCAATACTGCTAACCTGAAAGCCACCCCTTTCTAGCAAATGCCATCTGAAACGAATAAAACTGATCGGAAAGTTTGATGGCAATTCCTTTAGGGCTCGCTCGAGACCACCTTGAACCCGCGAGCCTTTCAAATCTGTATTCTATTTATTTTTTTACATGACGTTGTTGTTGTTGTTGAATGAAAGCTGAAATTCTCAAATTAGGCAACCCGCATATCCGATCCGAGATTCCTCAACTGTGCGCAACATCCCGCAAAATCATTCTAGTGCGCTCTCCTCCAGCACCCTTCCTTGAGTGTAAACCGCTCTGCATTTAGGCGGACTAATTCAGGATTGGGGCACTCCAAATAATTCCTTTTTGCGGGGATTTGTCTTTAACACCAGTCAAGCGCCGGCCCCTAGCGGGAGGGAGAAGGAGGGGGAAAGGCGCGTCACCTGCAGACACGCGGAGGCGTGGTTAGGTTGGGGGACCCGCGGTGGTGAACAGACGCCAGGGGTGCAAGATGGTGCATGCGCATTACAGGAGGAAGGGAGGAGCTAAGGAACGAGGCCGTCGGAAGTGCTGCTGGGTCTGCGTAGAGGAAGGGGAGGGGTGGTTTTTTTTGTTGTTGTGTGGTGTTTTTTTGCAAGGGGGGGCGGGCTGGTGCAAAACGGCGCCGGAGGAGGAGGAGGCGGCTCTGGGGTGAGTCATAGTCGCGTCCTCTTCCCTGCAGGCAGAAAAGGGGATGGCTTCACCCTCCCCCCCTCTTTCTTGGCCTGGGAGGGGTGGGGTGCAACACCTGGGGTGGGAGGTGGGACTCTACTGGGGGGGGAGGCAACTCAGATACAAGCCGGGGCCGTTTGGAGGCGTTGCTGTGGCAGCAAATGCCGCCGGAAGGGGGAGGGGCAGGAGTAAAAGACCCCGCCCCCCCCCGGAAAAGTGGTGTGAGGAAAAAAACATTCAGTCGTTAATTTGCCCCATACAGAAAACACCGTTTGGCTTCATTCTAGGATGTGGAACGACACCCCCCCCCCCCCCCCCCAAAATGCTTATCCAAACATTTATGGAAGACAGTTATGTAATCCCCAGACACAAACACTGTTACCGCTAAACTGAGTCAAGTGTGAGCTAGCTCACAGTTTTTCAGCCTCTGGCTCACACGTTTTTGTCTTAGCTCAGGAAGGAGGGCTCCAAAGCAAACTGATTTATGCAGCAGCCAAATCGCTCGCTCACAACTTTGATGCCAGCAGCTCAACAAGTAAAATTTTTGCTCACAAGACTGCACACCTTAGAGGGAGCGTTGGACACAAAGAATGCAGGGTGTATTATCCCTTTCTCCACTCCTAAATATTTTTTTCAAGTAGGAGGCGGGTTATTTTTTTTTACTGTCTGTGAGAGCCGCAGTCGTCTTGTGATAACTTCTTCATACACCTCAGAGCAAATCAGCTTCTCAATTTTATTACAGGTGTTTTTGCCCCAGTCCTGTGTTGTGTTATTCTCTGTGCCAAGGGGTTAATTCCATCATATATTCTTGTTGTTGAACAAAATCTGATTTTCTGTACCATCAGAATAAGACAGTCAGAAATACATCTGGGCATGGAACAGCGGTAACTATGAGTGTGGAGGGTGGAGGTATTTGTGAATTCCCTGCATTGTGCAGGGGGTTGGACTAGATGACCCTGGAGGTCCCTTCCAACTTTATGATTCTATAACAACAAAGGCTCTTTGAATGTTTTCCCAAATTGCCAGATTTCTCTTAGGGATGGCCATGCTAAAAGGAAGACTGTCAAAGGGACAGATTTCATAGTTTATCTCCTGGCTAATATCTTGCCCTATGCATGTTATTAGAAAGCCCAGCATTACCAGATAGGTTAGTTTGTTCTCCAGGGCTGAGTTTTCCTAATTGTTTATTACCATGCTTGCCAATTGTTGAAGAATCCAGTCTACTCTTAGAACTGTTTTTTGTTGCATTAGTTTCCACTGGATGGCTGGAGAACCCGGGGCAATGGACAGTATTGCAGCGTGCTGTTTTGAAAGGAGCGTTGTGCCACATTCAGCCTTCCATTTCACTTGCAGATAATCTTAAATCTGGCTGGAGAAATTGATTGAAGTAAGTATATTGAAATGTGGAGAATAATATTTTGGGCAAGCATGCTGGCTGCTCTGAGGCTTACACACACACACAGACAGACACTGCATCTTAGATGGAATCATGAAAGGAAAGAGGAGAGGGACTTCTGGGATTTAAGACCAGAACCCGTTTGGAATGGCTTTGGAATGTGCTAAATGAACAGTATAGTGTCTAAGTATGAACAGAGAACGCATCCCTCCCCTCGACACTAAGTAATGGCCCTTGAAATGGGATGTATGGTTAGTTTTTTTAGGGAAGCTTCACTCACACCGGTATCTTTTTACAAACTGATCATTGCAAAAGGAGGGAGAACGGAATTCAGAAGAAGCCCACACTTCCCGACCCCAAAGCCTATGCTCTCCAATGTCCGTTCCCCAATACCTGGCAAACGAGGAATAGAGTCCTCCCACCCACCCCTCGCCATCCAGTTTGGGAAGTCTGTGGGGAGTATTTTATTGGTTTTTGAAAGGAGCTTCGACTTTGGAGCTGAATAACCGCGTAGTGTGCCAACAAACATTGTGGAGCAAAAAGTAAAATATCTCATGCGTGTTCAGGAAGAGTAGATTTGAATGTGACCAGAATTCTATATGACCTTTTCTGTGTAGGTAATGGTTTGCAACATGTATGTTGGCCATCACAGGTGATGAGTGCACAAGTGTGCATTTTGTACAGCTAAGCCTTGATTTGCCTGCACTTTTCTAGCGCACGTGTATGTGCACGTGGCAAAATAGACCTGTGCACTATGGCCACACTTGGGAAATCTGCAGATAGGTTGCAGCCTGTGTTGAAACTTGAAATGCTTTCAGTTGTGTGAATGTTCCTCCTTTAGAATGGGACCTTCCTATATCAGCAAAATATTATCCACTTGCAAGAGCCATTCTGAAGGCCTCTTCTAGAACTTGCTGATGACTGAGCTCATCATTCTTGCTCAGGGAAACAAGAAACCAGAGCTTGAAGAGACCACGGTGCTTGCTGGATTAATATTGTTCACTGGATGAATAAAGTGGTGGGGAAGAGAACAATGTAAGCTGTTTTGGGTCCCCACTGGGGAGAAAGGCTGGGTATAAATGAAATAAATAGCGAAATGGGACCCAGAGCAGGGTGCATGCTGGATGACTACTGCAAGCAAAGAAGTATGTGTTCTCTTTGAGTGGGCTTAGCGTAGTGGCTCAGAGTGAGACCACAAAGGAACTTGTTCAAGTTTCACCTGAGCCACAAACTCTTTAGGTGCTATTTTCAACCTCAGTCTCTCGTCTGCAGTATGGGTATAAATAGACTGATTCAATCTAACCGTGGTGTTTTAAGGACAGGTGTGGGTGCCTATGGAAAGCACTTTGAATGCTAGAAAGAAACGCTCAGATGAGTTACTCTTTTTTGTACAGGACTCTGCTGGGCAGACGGTCGGCACCCACCATGATGGATAATCCTCCTCTCAGTACCAGTCCAGATTTCTCACTGAGCCACAGGCCTGGAAATGGCTCTGAGGGATCAGAACCGCCAGTATCCCTGGGGGACTGGAGTGACAGTGAGAATGAGCCAGACTCTGTTGGAAGCTCTCCAGGCTGCTCTGGGAAGACCTCCTTTCTCAGCGTCCCCTCCCCAAACAAGAATGTCGCTGCCCAGGCTTCCGAAGAGAAGGTGGCCAAAGTGCATCTCTTCTGGCTGTCCCGTTGCAAGGCCCAGCAGCATCGGAAGCCAAAGTCTGTGTTTCACAAGGCAGAGACACCCACGGAGAACACAGGGGAATCAGGGGATTCCCGGGGGAGGCGCCTCCAGTTGCAGGACGCTCGTGAGGAGTCCGTGGAGAGCCGGGGGGAAGAGGACACCCCCGAGGACATTGTGCAGCTGATAGATGAGCACGGCATATATTCCTCTGCCAAGCTGGCGCCCACCCCAGAAGTGGCACTCCTCTCTCCCTACCCACAGCAGCTTTTGGAACACGGCAGCCGGGCGGGGGAGGACTTTGAGATCCGGGAGGTGATTGTGGACGAGAAGCCATTCCAGTGTGCCGTCTGTGCCAAGGCCTTCAAGCGGGCGTGGGAGCTGTTCAGCCACGAGGTGGTCCACAATGAGGAGCGTCCATTCCATTGCCAGCTGTGCCAGGTGCGGAAGCAGAAGTGGGGGAGTTGGGACGTGGTGGTTTGAAATCGTAATTTCCCCTGAGCCATACGGGTGAGAGCTGAGGCCTCGGAACCGGGGGGGAGGAGAGCTTGCGCTGCCCGTTGATGACACCTTTGGAGTGGGTTTAGAGAATCCAGCTGCTATTTTCAGGCAGAGACTTCCGCAACTGGGAGGAACTAAATATAATGTTTCATACAACCTGCTTTCCTCAGCTATAGGAATCTCACAGGGAATGCCGCGCTCTCTCGGGAGAGGGTAGGATGATTCCCTTCTGAAGAAAGAGCCCTAAAGTCTGAATATCTGGTTATGTGCAGGTATAGGAACTGCAGGGGGATGGGGGGGGGAGTAGATAGAGCTGTCCTTAAAGCAGTATCCATTCCTTCCAAAACATGGAAGGAAGCACACACATCGTAGCCCTTCCCCTGCCCGCCCACCAAGATTCTCCCATGCCAGCCAAATGTATTTATTTATTTATTATATTTATACCCCACCCATCCCACAAGCAGGCTCAGGGCGGCTAACAAAATGGTACAATGTACCTAATTGGCATACACAAAACTTAAAAACTCTATAAAATCTCATAGACAAATAATTTAGGACATAAGTTAGCAATTAACAATAAAGTGCATACAGTACTACAAATTAGATGGCGTGCTTCCAGATCTCATTCTGCGTTATTCCACCGATCATCATCCCTCGCGCCGGAAGGCCTAGCGATATGTCTGGGCCAGACCTAGGATCCAAGCATTCACTAGGATCATTGGTGGTAACAGTGGTGGCGGCTCCTATTGAGCAGCCTTGTTTGCCCTTTGCGGCCTACGCTCATAATGCCTAAACTGTTTCCTTCCACCTCCAACCTGAGTACCAAAAAAAAGAGGCAATACTAAGGTGCAGGAGGACAGAATGGTCTTTAACGTGTGGTGAAACCCAGGGAGAGGGTCATAACAAAATGATAATGGGAAACCAGCAGGCAGTGATTTCTGTGCAGAAGCAGTGTGAAAAGTCCATTCTGATCTGTCCCTTGGACGAATTCGGTAATTCTGTGGTGCTTTCTGAATGTGTGTGGTGTTGTTGTTGTCTCTAACGCCCCCCCCCCTCCCCGGGTTCTTCAGGCCTCATTCAAGCGCCACTCTGACTACAAGAGCCACGCTCTCGTGCAAGATCGGCCTCATCGCTGTGAGCTGTGCGGGAAGCGTTTCAAGCGAGCGTCCAACCTAGCAGAGCACCGCCGCATCCATTCGGGCGAGCGGCCCCACCGCTGTGTGGCCTGCACCAAGCGCTTCAAGACGCCCTACGAGTTGCAACGGCACATGCTCACGCACTGTTCTGAGCGGCCCTTCGCCTGCGCAGCCTGCGGGAAGGGCTTTGCGGCAGCGGGGGCCCTCCTCTTGCACCAGCGGCAGCATTGCGACGACAAGCCCCACGTCTGTGGTGTGTGTGGCAAGCGTTTTGCTTACGGACACAGCCTGCGGGTCCACGAGCGGGTGCACACGGGCGACCGGCCCTTTTCGTGCGCCCTCTGCGGCAAGGCTTTCAAGCAGTCCAACGCCTTGGCCTCTCATGAGCGCGTGCACACTGGGGAGCGGCCCTTTGCCTGTCCGACCTGTGGCAAAGCCTTCAAGCAGTCGTCCTACTTGGCTATCCACACCCGCTCGCACACTGGCGAGCGCCCCTATGCTTGCGAAGCATGCGGCAAGGCCTTTGCACGGCCCTCGCTCCTCTTGCAGCACCAGCGTGTCCACAGCACCGAGCGGCCTCACCGGTGCCAGCACTGTGGCAAGCTTTTCAAAGACCTGGCCTACCTGACAGTGCATGAGAAGGTGCACACAGGGGAGACCCCTTACAAGTGCCCGGTCTGTCAGAAGGGCTTTGCACATCCCTCAAACCTGCTGCAGCACCAGCGGATACACCGGGACGGATAGAAAGAATGACGTGGGTGCCGGTTTCTTGGCATTAGCAGACTTGTGACTCTGCAGTTCTCTCACCTGGTCCAGCGTGTGCACTGTGATGGATGGAAAGTGCCCCTTGCATGCCCTTTGCACAAACACCAGTATGTGGTCCCACTTTGCTGTGTGTGCATTGTGTACAAATGCACTTAAAATTTGTTCACACCTTTGTTTAACTCCCCACACTAGCCTGTGCTTTGTAATAAATAGTTGCTCAAAGGGATTCGAGCAGCAGAGCTCTGTGCATTTTGCACATCTTGTTCAGCGCAGAACTCAGCCTTCTGAATATTTTTCAAGATTTGTCTTTGGGTTGTTGTTTTTTACCATTTCTAAGTCTCTAGCCCTTATGATTGCAATGATAGTTTGAAAGCCATGCCTAGCGAAATTTCACAAATTGCAGCGTGGAGTCGAATAACACTTCGACCGGTCAGAGGGCAGGAGCTTCAGCATTCTAAGCAACTTTTGTCTTTGGGGCTAGGACAAGCAAAATTGTTAAATAAGCAAATGTATGCAAATTGGCTTAGTTGCATTTGCTGGGGGGTTTTTTGGCTTACCTGTAATTGTGTCAACATTGTCCTCTTATATTTTATTGGTGCTGGTATAGAATTTGGAATAAAATCAGTTTTTATGAATGTTTGGCTAGAGACTGACAGAGCCAGCCAAAGCAGAGTTACATCTGGCCCTGTAGCTACAATGGGGCTGTTGGGGGCTCAGCCCCCTTCCTTAAAGGGCCAGCCCCACAAGATTTTTAGAAGATTTTTTTTAAAGAATGGGGGGTGCACGCACAGACCCTCCGTTTTTTCCTCAAAAGCATTTAAAGGGATCCTTTAGACGCTTTTGAAAAGAAGCTGGGGATGGTGCACACCCCCTCTCCCCCCTTGCAGGATTTAAAGAGCCCTCCAGCTGATCCTCCTGCCAACCTAGTAGTTCGAAAGCAAGAAATTGCAAGTAGATAAATAGGGACCACTTCAGTAGGAAGGTAACAGCGTTCCGTGCGCCTTGGTGTTTAGTCATGCCGGCCACATGGCCACGGAAACGTCTTCGGACAGCGCTGGCTCTTCGGCTTTGAAACAGGTGAGCACCGCAACCCTAGAGTCGGACTCGACTGGCTTTCGAGCAAGGGAACCTTTACCTTTACCTTTACCAGCTGATTAGCAGGCTTGGGGGTGGATTGGACCTGACATAAAAATAACGACAGCCCCACCAGAAAACAATTTGCCCCCCAAGCCACAAAATCCTGGCTACGGGCCTGAGTTACATCCTCCTAAGTCGATGCCACTGGGCTGAGAAGGGAAAACCTTTGCTTAGTATGGTGCAGTAAATCTTTGTCAGGGCATTGTAATGCTAGCTCTAGGGTATCCCTGAAGTGCAGAAATTAGTGCTGGGAGTGCTTCTTTACCTACCAGTATTAACACACATATGTGCACTTACACGCATACCTGTCCCTCTGCCCTGGATAATGAGACCCTGGCCTTTGTAACTCGCAGAGAACATCAGCAATTCACAAAGCCACCCTCCCCTCCCCTTTGCACTTTCATTAAAATACAGGAGATATTGAGGAGATATTGTCATTGAGGAGATATGTCATTGACAGAGGTCAGCATCAGAACTTCAGATTAAACACAAATCCATTTTTAATTGCAGTTTTTGATCTTGTGATTCCTAGGGGCCTTTCATAATACATAAAGTTTCAAGAACCTCCATACTCACTGATCAGGTGACCAATTCTACATGAGGATCAATGGTTTCAAGCTCCACCTCCAATACCTGGAGAATGTCCATTCACCCATCTTGTGCAAAGGACACAAATGGGGTTCATACCAGGTAACAATAATACATGGCAATTGAAACGTGTTGTTATATATGCTAACAGCAGTTCACGCGCATTGTTTCAGCGCCCTTACAAAAGACATGCAAGATAATTGGGGAGGATCAGGTTGAAAGAATGGGTATTTATCTCCAACCACTGTCAGAACCGGCCTTGGCCCCACATCAATTTGACTGGAGGATGCTTCAACGGTTTGCGACACTCCCTGTGACACCTCCCCCCCCCCATATCTGAAGTTCCCCGCACCCCAGATCCTCCAGAGAAGACTCCTTGCCTTCTCTACCACAGAAGTTTCCTGTGTAGGAGCCAGTGGAACCCAGGAACCTCTTGAGTGGACCTTTCCATTTCCACCATTCAAAAGTCTCCCCTGGAGCAAAGAAGGCAGAGAGTCAGAATCAAAACCTGGACCAGGCAAAAAAGTGCTCACCTGGCAACTTTAGGATGAGTTAACCAAACATGCAAAAGCAACCTTGAAGAATATAAACAGGATCTGTTTTATGCAAAAATATTTTTAGTGATATAAGATAAGCCATCTATTATTGGCAACCTTCTCCTTGCTTGTTTGAACTTTAGGATGAGAGCTGCATTCTCTAGGTCTTTGTGGGCTTCAACTCTGGCCACAGGGAGGGGTGGGATTACTAACATCCTATATAAACCTCCACTTGGGCTCTCGATTTTGCTTGTCCCAGTGCTCTCCATGATAGCTCCTATTCCAGACTGCTGCCAGTACAAATCTTTGGCTGCCCAGTTACAGTTCCTATACCGACGATCCTGATTTCAGCTGCCTGCCAGAGACCTTGTCACCTTTTCCCCAATCGGCCAGGCAGAGAATGGGACAGGCAGTTAATGAGGCGGACTTCCTGGCTCCCAAGCTTAGCCAATAGACTGTCCTGGCTTGTCATCCATAGTACAATATGCTACCTTTTTTGTGGCACTCCAGCTTGGAGGAGATAGCAAAGTTTAGTGGGGAGACAGGTCACTACCAACTTGTGACCTTTGATGTGCTGTTCCGGTTACTTGAGGGGATGCTCCCCTACAATTTCCAGGGCTTTTCTCTAGAGGGCAGCAGTGAGAAAATCCCTGATTATCCTCAAATGTAGGTGGGGCTTAAAACACATCTTTGACATAATTAGTATGCCAATAAAAGGTATGACTGACTGACATCATTAAGGTCAGCATCCCCAACCAATGCAAGGAGGGAAAACACCATGGCTACAAGAAAGCCTGTGATAAGAAAAAGTGTGTGTGTGGGGGGACCATCAAATACCTGATAAGAAGGGGCCAATAGGGGTGCATTTATGGAGGACAGGACTCCTTGCTGCCCTTGGATGTGTTTAAATCTTGAATCATTAGTTGTTTATAAATACTGTTGCGCTACATACCAAAGGTTCGGATCCTGTTATTCCACAAAGGTTAGCCTCTGGTGATAAAATCGCTACAGTTCTCAGAAGTCTTCAGAAGGAAAAAATAATCCCAACCAATGCTAATTATTATTATTGGCAATTTAATTTGGAATGTGTTCCGGAACAGAGGCCACTCTAATCTGGACTGTTCTGGCTTCACCTTCAACGCCCTTTTGAAGTGAAGGGGGGGGGGGACTTCTCAGAGAGCCATTGTTAGTAGCTCACAAGAGCTACATTTCTCTACTAAATCAAAATCTGGCAGCTGATAGGGGTACAAGAACTATCTGTTTCCTAATTGTACATATCCTAATTGCACATATTCATTAGCCCACAGCTTTCAATAAGGTTGGTGCGAGCAGATGTGCTAGATTCCTTGCTTTAAATTGCCTGGATTAAAAGGGGGGAAGTCCTTTTTGGGGCAACAGGGAGAAGGAATGGCAGCAGCTGCCTCCTCTACCACAGAAGCGCCTTGCAGCATCAGTCCAACCATCCATCTAGTTCAGCATCCTGTTTCCCACAGTGGCATGTCAAGCACTTCTGGGAAGCGGGCCCAGAAGGTAACAGCCCTCTGTTGTTTGCTTCCTAGCCATTGGTATTCCAAAGCATTCTACCTCTAATTATGGTGGTTCTATTGAGCTGGTGTGATTTAACCACTGTTAATAGAACTTGCCTCTTAAAGGCACAGGCTGGTGGCTTTTAGCATTTAATCCACCCACTAAATCCTCAACATTGTCATCAAAGCTTGACCCTAAACCACAAGTAAACAAATTAGGGCATAAAAACAGCGCTCCAGACAAGGCATCTTTACTTACAAGTGGAGGAGCCATTTGTTTTTGTTGTTCGCTTTTTAAACCACAATTCAATAGAAGCGTTCTGATGCTTTACCAGCTTCAGCAGTCACTCCACATCACAAGAATTTGCATACAGTGTATATATGGCTGCGGTCACACGGAGCATTAGGCACGCTAGAGAGACGGAAGATAGGCGGATTTTCCAGGCGATCTGGGAAGCGTAGAGCTCCCATGGCTCACCCAAGGCTTCACTCCGAAGATGCGCTGTAAAAAACTAGTACCTCCGAGGTACTAGTTTCCGGAAACCACGGGGCATGGGCGTGCGTCTGATCGGGTTTCCGGTGGTAGTTCTGGCGCCCGCCCATGTCCCCTCACAAAAAGGTTTTTTTCCCCCAAGTCTCCACGGATGCGCACAAGCACCCAACGGAGCATGCGCACACTTTAGTTTAAAAAAAACAACAGCCCCATTTACCCCGTGGCCCCACTTCTTTGCAGTGCCGCAGGAGTGTCCTGTGATCGGCACCTCCCCCCTAACCACGGGACCCCCATGGGACATCTGCTCGTGCAACCGTGCGTTATTTTGCCCCGGGGCAAACAGCCATGCTTCCCCCCAAAATTTTCCGGCCTATGTACTTTTTAAAAAATGAGCAATGTAGTTGTTCCTTGGCCTCCCAATGTTTTGCACAACATGCAGGCACAACTGAGTAAGCACAGGGGATCTTTATTCCTACCCCTTCATTTTGGATAGCAAAAACCTTTAATGTACAGGGGCTGAGCTTCTTGGGATAAGGATTTTGTAATTATTTGAATTATTGAAATTATTTTTGTTTTAAAGATATTACAACATCAGTGAATGGAACAGAGCCACTTTATATAAGCTGAGGAGAAAGCATCTTTTTGGCCTCTGTGTGCAAAGTCTTTGCGCTGGTGGCATGGTAACAAACATCCTACCTGGTCACCAGGATACTTGGTTATTTATAGAATCAGGCGACGGCCATTTTGTTTTCAGTGGCGACAGTTAAGAAATACTCCGTCACCAGATTAAAGAAATCTAAATGGGTTGTATGTTTTAGTTTAATGATCCTTTGTCTAAATTGATATACATCTCATTAGCATTATATCTAATTCTAAACATGGCTACTTAAATCTAGAGATTGGAGCTATGAACAGACAAAACCTGAACCTGAGAAAAGATGCAGGTTTGGAGAAAAAAATCATCCCCAAATGGGGGTTTAACCCCTGAAAATAATAGAAGCAGTGCCTGTAGCCTTAAGAAATGAATGCCCTCAGTGGCCATTGCTCAGCAACCATGAACACCAGTGTGGTGTAGTGGTTAGAGTTTCAGACTAGGATCTGAGAGACTTGTGTTTGAATCCCCACTCTGCCATGGAATCTTGCTGGGTGACCTTGGGCCAGTCACACACTCTCAGCCTAACCTACTTCACGGGTTTGTTGAGAGGATAAAATGGAGGAGCGGAGAATGATGCAAGTTGCTTTGGATCCCGACTGGGGAGAAAGGTGAGGTATAAGTGAAGCAAATAAATACAGCTAAAAGGTAGGTTGACTGGTGGGTGGGAAGGCGAGAAGAAAGCAGGGAAAGGTAAGTATATGGGGGTCAAAGGGAATAATGCAGGGAGGGGAGATACAGGGGAAAGGGAAGCACCCTCCGTGGCCCGGCCCAGCAGCCAGCACTGTGCCACGAGACTTCAGTTCTTTTCAGGTACATCTTGTGACGGAGAGAAGGAAGGAAAGCTGAAGGTGGGGAGCTGATAAAGTGAGGTTGGCTGGTGGGTCAGAAAGAGAAATAGAAGCAGAAAAAGGGGAGAGGTTACGGAGGCTTTCAAAGAAGGGAAAGAAAGAGTGGGGGAGGGGGAAGGTGATGCCCCCCCCCACAAGTCCTTGCAGGTTCCCCACTTGTGAATATATACTTCTGAAGAGGAAGTAAAAGAGCAGTTTGTTTTCAGATGTTGAACACACGTGCAAACACCATTTTAAAAGTGAAACTACTGCACAGAGGTACACATGCTAACACAGAAGGAAATATATAAGCAGACAAAATAACCCTTTGAAAAAGCAAACTCAGAATTTAATAGCACAGATGGTGGGGTAACATAAAAAGGTGTATGGTAAAATAGTATCAAAGCATCATATGTAAACATTTGCAAATGACAAACTGAAAAATAAATGGAGGATCAGAGAGATATTATCAAAAGAGTATCCAGTTACTCCAAATACATAGGGTTGCTAGGTCCCCCCGGCCCTGGCCACCAGCGGGGGGTGGTGGGGAATAGCGTTGACAGATACAAGTTGGGAAACTCTTGGAGATTTAGAGATGGAGCCTAGGGAGGACAGGGACTTCAGCAGGGTACAATGCTTGTATAGTCCACCCTCCAAAGCTGCTACTTTCTTCAGGGGAATTGATCTCCATCCAGTCTAGAAATGAGCTGTAATTCCGAGGGATCCCCAGGTCCCACCTGGAGGATAGCAAACCTACTTGAGATACAACAGGTGTTGACCTGTTACAAACTGGATTCTCCTCATGGAGATCCTCCTCTATAGACAAAAATGCTTCTGTCTGCTCAATATGGCCCTTTGAGAGTTCATTTGGGGGGGGGGGAGATCCTACTTTTGTAAGGGAAGTCTTTTGTAAGGTATAGCAACCTTTGTTAGTCTCCTTATGGCAAGCCATGAAGAGTTCCACAGCCCAAGCAGAAAATATCCATCTTCTTAAAATACATACCGGTCTGTAGGAGGAGAACCTATTCTTAAGAATGTGTCTTGTGTAATAACAGTCATTAAACAGTTTGGGAATTAAATACTTAAGTAGTTGTTTGTAGCTAAGCTGTGAAAACGTAAGAAGTGTGGGGGATACACGTGTGATACATAGACTAAGGAAATAACATCAGAGATAAGTTTCTACCCTTCGAGTAGTAAAGCAATTTGAAAACAGAGTATTGAAGAAAGCTTCTGTGTGTAGAGGGGGGTTCATTACCAGTGGCATGTCGACCACACTTATGGTTGGCAACCACCAGGTGACAGTCGAAGAACTCCCACTATTACAACTGATCTCCAGGTGGGATCGTTCGCCTGAAAAAAATGGCCACTTCGGAAGGTGGGATCTATGGCATTATACCCTTACAAGGGGAGACCCGCAAGAAACATGCGGGGAGGGGGCATTTCCCTCACCTTTGCTTCCCTCTCCCCCCTTCTCTGTCAACGTTCCCTCCTGTCTTTCCTCACCCACCCCTTATCTATCAAGCTTCCCTCACCTCCCCCTCTCAACCCGTCTGTGTTAGCTTTCCTCCCTACCCCCTTCTCTAGGAATTCTTTCTCACCCCCTTTCTCCACTCACCACTTCTATGTCTCACCCTTGTCTTACCCCAGCTCTTCTCAGACAATGTCCTCTTTCCCCCACCCCTTCTCAGTCTGGCCCCCCCTCTCTCACCCCCCCTCTTCAGCCTCCTTTTCTGCAGCTTTCTTGTTTTTCTGGCAGTGGGGAGGCCGCTCGCCTGGGAGGGATCTGGCGGTGGCATCCTCTGCCCCGCAGCTCCAGGGCTACCTTGCAGGGGGGAGGCCAGCTGCCTGGGAAGGACCCAGCGCCGTTACTCCAAGGATGTCTTCCTGGCCGCGGGGAGGCTGGCCACTGAGTGAAGCTCCAAGTCTGGTGCCAGAAACCACGAGTTCGGACTGCGCAAGTGCAGACAACGCATGTTTTTATTTGGGGGGAGGGTTTAACAACCCCCCTGTGTGTTTTTTTATCTTTTTGCATTTTTCTGCAACCTTGGAGAGTACTCCAAGTGTGCAGAAAAATCTCTTTAGCCTCCAGGTGCCCTTGTTCTGCAGAAATAAGTATCTGCACACAGAGGGACCCTGGGCTATTAGATATATAGATGAAGTCCCTCCCCTCCCCAAACCCCACCCTCCTCACGCCATGGCAGCAATGGGGAAATCACACAGGCCTGTCCCCTTGTGGAGCAAAGTGATCAGGGGAAAGTGGAAGGTTATGGTGGTGTGGTGAGGTAGGCCTGGAAGCTTCCACATGACCAGTTAAGAGCACCCATTGAGGAAATTCTTTCCTTTAACATGGAACAAAAAAGATTAGAGGAGGATGAGAATATGTAGCTTCTGAGGCCCCAGCAGTGCCATCCTGTCAACAGATTATAGTCCACGTTGTGAGTGGAGTCCATAGCAGCAAAGCTATGCACAGTAAAAGCAAGATTTGGTTTTTTTTTTAAAAAATATTTATTAAAACCCATAAACCAGGAGCTTTGGTGAAGGAAAATCCATGTGGCGGGGGTGGTTTGTACATTTTTACATCACAGGCAGGGGGTAAGTGGGTGGCGGGAACAAAAACACAAGCTTTAGCCATAGAGGGGAAGGCAAAACAACACACACACACCCCACAAACCTTGTCCTTAAACGAGAGTCATAACATCTGATTCACATTATTTCCACCCACACATGCTTTTTTTTTTTTTTAAAGCCAAGCTCAGGGAAGGCTCAATGGACTTTGTTTTGGGTCTTCTGTTAATGATTTGCTTTCAGGATCCTGTTCTTGGTACGGCTCTTGTGAAGATGGAGAAACCCTCAGCTTGAGGTCTTCAGGAGAGGCAAAGGGAATAGTGAGCTTCAGGCCTCAGCTCTCCTCATGCGCATGAGCACAGCTTCCCACCGATCCCTGTGACCCTACCACTACCACTTCTCACCTCTGCTGCTCTCTGCACATCCCAGGAAGAGACATTTTTTGCACAGGTGGGTGCATGGCTTTGTAATGTGTATATGTGTGGTGTCAGGCTTATCTGTTCCGTGAAGGCCACCGTGGTCTCCAGGCTCCCCCTAAGCTGTGGAGTCTTCTGAACAAAAGTTCTACTTTGTGGGCTACGGGCATGAAAGTTGTGAGCGAGGGATTTGGCTACTGCAGAAATCAGTTGGCTCCGGAGCCCTCCTTCCTGAGCGAAGACAAAAATGCGTGAGCCGGAGGCTAAAAAACTGTGAGCTGGCTCACGCGAACTCAGCTTAAAGGGAACACTGGTCTCCTCCACATGGTGCGCATTGGGACTTGTTTACTCATTGTTCTGCCATTTTGTTTACATACAGTGCCACCTAGTAGAATTCTGAGGCTCATCTATCCTGCCCCACAGTGCATAAAAGCAGTGTGAGTCATGACTTCCACACATGAACCCGGCCTACATAATTATGACCTGTCTGGCAGGCCACCCGTTGGAATCAAGTAGGCCCCAGTTTGGACTCCCCACAACTTATCACACATTACTTAGGGTTGCCAGATCCAGGTA